TGGGGAGAAAAGGCAAGCAATCGGTACTGTTACCAGTTGATGAGAAGGTCCATCATCAAAGTGCTTTGTGGGTGGATCGTATCCAGACCCATGAATCATGGACTTCCTTGGTGCGTGTACTACACCCTAGCATCATGGCATCCATCATGGTATATCCATTACCTTTCCATCATCATCTCGTGGAATGCCACAGTTTCCCGATCCTTAGTGATCCTGCAGCCCCCTACCTAATCCAACCTCACCTTCGCCCATTTGCCAGGCCTCCGATGAAGAAGAAGCTTCAAGGCTGGATGTGCCGACATGGAGCTTGTGAGTCCCATCTGAGAAAATTATGGGGTGCGGGTAAACGCTGAAGACATGAAGCAGAGACTGAAGACGTTATTCTTTTAGATTTTTTGCAGTGGCTTCCCGCTTGTGGATTTGAGCACATGCAAGGAGAACTGGACTTGTGACGCCACAACTAGATGAGGTAGATGAGATGCATGGAGCAGAGAGAGAGAGAGAGAGAGAGAGAGCGCGCAAGCAACATGCGCACGAAGACGAATGGAAGCCTAGAGAATCTGCTTCAGGAGCATCAACTCGAGTACTGTTCTAGCACGTGTTAAGCGCTGATTAAGCGCTGCTGATTTGGAGGCCGTGGCCGGGCCCCCCCGCGGCCTCGCAGCTCCGCTCGGCAGAAACCGATCTTGCCACTGGGTCGAACTGGGTGACCCAGACTATGCGTGGGACTAGCGGCGTTTGCCCATCATTTGGGGTGCTTCAGATGTGTGTATATATATATAATACATTTTTCCATATCTATATATCTACATATCTATATGTATCTTTGTGTGTGTGTGTAGAAAGTACCAATCCGAAAGAGGATTCGGATGGGCAGGGGCATGACGTTGGCAGCCCAGGCAATCCTGTTCTTGTCTCAACCGCTGCCACCTGAGGCCACAGATGGCCTCTTTGGGTTGCCCTCCTGACCTGCCATGCCCAGGCGGGTCCACCTGGTTTCACGTCCGTCTTGCCACCCCCGGATGCAGCGGGTTTCCTGGAAGCAAGGGGGCCTGGACAAGGGGGCCGGGCCTCCGGATCAAAGGGATGTTTTTCAAATGCTTCAGAAGGAGCATGTAAATGAGATCTAGTTGTTGATTTACCCCGCAGCCGGAACTCCTTTGGGGAGTCGCCTTCTGGCCGCGCGCGCGGGGAAAACCCTCAGGCAAAGATCGACCCGTCTCCGGTGGCATTCCCGTGCTGAATGCGTGCGGCACCTCAGGGCGGAGGAGGGGTTGAGTGGAGACGAGGTGACCCGAAGGCCGCAGGCAGAAGGATTTGGAGCCTCTGGACGCCCTAGGTGTCCTGTAGGATTCTCATGGATTCTCATCACTTTCATGCAACAATCACATCGAAAAGAGGCAACACTCGAAGGCCACGGAAAATGCACGAGGAATCTCAAGGGGGTCTCATGTCGGCGGGATGTGAAACCAAAGACGCTCGGACATCAATCGGATTCTGATGTTCCATTTGGCTGTGCCATGGCGCCGGCTAACCCTGTCCTTTCCATAGACGACCAGACCATGTACCAGGGTCACGGAGTTGCTTTGGATGGACACCTGGTTTTTCCACCAAAAAGGACAGAGATGGGATGACAGAACCTACCAAGAGATATAACCCCCAACCACGAGGGGTCTATAGAAAACCCAGGAAGTCTCAAAAAGCTCTTGCTCTTTAGTAGACCAACCAGAACCTACCAGGGCCCCCCACCACTAGGTCACTCAGCCGAGGACCGATGTCCCTGAGAGCCTCGTCCCTTCGTCCCCCAGGCTCTCAGACCGACGGGTCTGCGTGACCGCCGGCTGACCGATGTGCTGGGCACTGAGAGCTCCAACGGCTCGGGCGGGGCAGGGAAGTTCTGAGAGCTCGGATCAGTTGGGCTCAAACATCAAGCAGCCGAGGTGCAAGAAAGTGGCATGATGGCTGACATTTGGGGGATGTTAGTCCGGTTTTTGATTTTTTGGGTTTGGTCCACGTCTTTGCTTCACCTCCTCGAATGTCACGCACCAGATGCTGAGGCCAGATCTGCGCTGAGCTGCACATGACCCGCGCGAGAAGACTCGCGCGAAAAAAGAAACGTCTCACGAACTGATGCCGACACGCGGTGTTTGGTTCTTGGCGCAGGGTGGCGCCCAGTCCAGCACACCTGGGCCGGTTCAATCCATATGAATTCCAATCCAAGCTGACTCTCCCTTTGGACAGATTTGCTTGTGCTTCTGCAGCTTTGGACATGACTCTTGCACGAACTGCCAGGTACGGTGTTTGAACCCGACATGCGGACCGTGCCATGATTGCCATGTGGAGCCATGTGCAGTGTCCACCAAGTGTCCACCAACGACATCATTGAATGGCCTGGGAGCTGCTGAAGAAGGTCCGGTTTTAAAGGGTCTTTGAATTTGACCGGATGGTTTTGGGCTGTGCTGTGACCTGACCCCACGAAAATCCGGGCTTTGATGCGGCCACGATGCGGCCACCAAAACACCATGTTCAAACGCCATGCTCAAACCTTCCGGTCAGAAATCCATGCCATACCCCAGCGCTGGCGGGGAAAAACCCCTCCACGTCTCCGCGGCGAAAAGGAGGCGTGATGCTGCGAGTGGATTGGGATTGTGGATTGGGATTGTGGAGGGATGGAGGATCTTTGGAAAGGTATGCAGCAAATCCAGAGAGAGAAAGAAACAGCCAGCCAGCCAGCCAGCCAAGGAAGGAAGGAAGGAAGGAAGGACGGAAGAGATACACAAACATCTGGAACCCATATGACACTTTTGTCATAATATGACAAAACAGGACGAAGCCATAAATTTGTCCCAACAGGGTTGCATGGTTCAGCCCAAATCCTAGGCATGTTGGCCTCTGCCAATCCATCAGTTGGATGTATTTTCATAGCGATGCGGCGATGCCCAGTTACGAGTCGCTGAGTAGCTATATATGCCACCCTCGTCCTACCTCACCGGTGCCCGCCGACGGTCCAAGGTCTCCCAGGTCGACGGCTGAACCAGTCAGTTCCCCGGAGCCATGGGACCATGGCGGAAGCCGCCCCCAAGCGCCCGCGCGTAGGGAGCTGGTCAGCCAATTGTTTGAATCAAGGCCGGAGGGTGGCGAGCTTGGATGGATGTGGGCTGAAAAAGGCCTTGGGCTTGGAATGGCTCATTCGGGGTGTGGGATCAGCTGTCCAGAGGTTTTCCCCAAAGGGGCTGGCAGTCCTTCCAACCAAAAAACATCCAAAAACATCCTAACAAGAAACTACTAGGTTGGAGGCTATCACTACTAGTAACAAGCAGCTATATACTAGTAACAAGGGATGGGTGTTCTTGGGCAAATGCTGAGGCTGCCGAAGCGTGCAGAGCTTCCGGAAGCTGAACCGCATCGACGAGGGCACCTACGGCGTCGTGTACCGCGCCTGTGAGGTTGAGACCGGCGAGGCCCGGAGTTGGAGGGTGGGAGGGTGGGAGGGCAGTCGAGGGTGGGAGGTTTTGGACGTTGGCTTCGACAGGTCGAGCTGGCACTTGGAGGTCTTGCGGCGATGTGCCAGCATTTTGGCGCACATTTTAGCCATGTGCTTGGTCGTCCTAATGATAAGGCCCCCAAATCCCGTTCCATCGGAACGAGCTCGCCATCCATCGACGGTCATCGAGGTCGTTGCCCTGAAGCAGTTGAAGCTTACGGCGGTGAAGTCGGAGGATGGCTTCCCTGCCGCTTCCCCCGACCGTGGAGAGCGCGGAGGATGGCTTGGTGACAACAAAAGAAGGCACCGCCCAAGATCTGGCTAGGAAAAAGAACCCCTCCCTGAAACAAACATGGAAGTGGACAACCCCCTTGTTTGGTCTTCGGAGTAGGGTCTTTCCAGAGAGGGTCATTGTCCGATTCGATGATGACGTCAGTATATAAATCTGTTGGAAATTCTTGGAGTCCATTGCCCAAAGCCTTCTTTGGAGACGTTAGAGTTACAGTAGTTGAAATCGGATAAGGGTGTTAATCACTAAGGAATCGTGTCACGACTGGGTTTCGTGTCGAAAGGTTCGGGTTCCCTAGGGCACCAGCACCGATCCTATAGATGGTTGCTAGATGGTTGCTAGTCTTAATTGGACGGCGGGCCGAATCGACCTGGGGGGCAAGCCAAACCTCGAGTTCGTAGAGATGAAGGCAAAGAAGGCGGCGGGCAAGCCATGTGCACATCGAGTTGATCCCAGATGTTTAGAGCCTTGATTTGTTAAACCCTAAGACTCCGGGCCCTCAAACAGATAGGGTTTGGTTCGGGCCCGGACCCCTGCTAGGGTCCGACCCGCCCGTGCTGTGCGATGAAACCGCCCGCGAAGGCCCGTCGGATGAAAGCCCGTGCTGTTTCGAGGTGTCGTCGATCCGCGAGATTTCAATTCTCCTCGAGATCCATCATCCCAACATCGTGCAATGTCGCGAGGTGGCCGCGGCCTCAGTGTTGAGGGATGTCGATGAATCTGGGAGTCACATGTTTGGGAGCCGAAAGGATGTGATGGTCGTGGCAGGGAATTCACGGGAGCAGTTTTTGGTCAGTGGACTGGCGACCAGTCACCAGAAACAGGTCTCTGTAAAGAGCCGTCACCTACCCAGCCAAGCCGCTTAGCAGTGAACTTCTTCCTTCTTGGAACCCTTCGGCCAACCGCTAAGGTGGTGGGGAATACCTTGCAGCACGTCTTTATGGCTATGGAGTACGTGGAGCACGAGCTCAAGGTCTTGCTGGTACAACACGCCTTCGCCGTGGCGGAACAGAAGTGCTTGCTGCGGCAGCTGCTCGCGGGGGTGGCGCACCTCCACCTGAACTGGACCGGAACAAGACGGGGAGCCCGTTTGGGGCAGACGGTGGGGTGGGAAAGTGGTGTCCTTATGTCCTTTTCGTCTCTGAATGGGTTTCCTTTCTATTTTGGTGAACTCTCCATCCGAGATAACTCACATCTTGGCACATTTTTGCTCAGCTTGAGAATCGTCTTCGATCATCGTCCGCACAGGTCGTCCAGACGACGGTCGTTCGGTCGTTCCACCGCGAGGATCGTGCACCGAGACTTGAAGACCTCGAACATCTTGCTGGACAGGCGCCGCGTGGAATTGAGCGCGCGCCGTGCCGGACATGTGTTCTTCCACAAAAAATAAGAACATCGATTAATAACTGGAAGATTAACATACATACATACATATATATATATATACACATACGGGTGTCAATAGGAAGCAGTTACAAGAAGAACCTGGTGCCCCCCACAAGCATTAAACATCATGTTACAGGATGTTTTTTTTTGCCTTTTTCTGTTGCATGGATGTGAGGAAGACAACAGAGAGCACACCTAAACACTAGACTTTTGTGTTAAGAAATGGCTAGCCCGGATTTTGGACTTTTGAAGAGGCAAGGGTTCAACATTTTGTAGGCCAGAAGCTCCGACCAGTGAACAACTCACCTGGCTGTGGGTCAAAACCCGTATCTCCAAACCAGGGTAGGTTGACCTCCTTGATGGTCCATTTGGTTCATGTTTGGTCAAACGGATCCGCCGAAGCACAGCGGACCCGGCGGAGGAATGGGATCTTGAAGATCTGCGATTTCGGCCTCGCGCGCCACTTCGGAGAGCCCCTTGGACGGTGAATGAGGTCACGGGTGACCGAGATGAACAGCGAAATGGGTGACCGAGATGAACGCTGGCAAAGTACTTCCTAAAGACTCAACAAGTTGTATCATAGAAGCACACATACATATGTATCTATATATACACACATACATAGACTATATCACATAGACCACGGTTCCTCCTAGACTCTTTTGCATGCCCCAGATCATAGATAGACCTGTACGTTTCGCCTGGCTCCGTTCCGTGGCTTCGAGGCCCCTGCGTCCCTATACCCAGGGAGTCGCGGCACCCAGCCGGTCGTTGCCGGTCGTTGCCGGAGACGCAAAGGCGCAGGGTCGTTGCATAGACGATAAGACGAACTAAAGACACCCATAAGATGGTATGTTTGGATACGGAGTTCGAATGAGTTCGACTTATTGTACTGTATATTTTGTCCTGAGCGATGAATCATCGGATGGAAAGGAAGTTCCACTTGACTAGTCGCTGGTCGCTTCACGACGAGTGTTCCGAATGGATGCTCCTGACTGACCGACTGAGAGGGCCCTCTGACTGACTCAGGTGCAGTCCCTTTGGTACAGAGCACCTGAGCTTTTGCTGGGTGAAAGGACCCACGGTTCCACGGTTCCTTAAATGCTTCTGATTTCGTTTTTTTTCCCCAATGGCCAAGCATTTGAGACGATCATGCAAAAAGCAACTACATGGTGATAAGACTGGAGCCCATGGCTGCACATGTTCTTCATATGCAGTGCACTCAATATACCATTTGACGCATGTAAGGAAAACACATGTAGAGTTCAGGGACGAATTCCAAGACTTTCAACTCAAAGGATGTCTAGCTATTAGGGCCTTCCCACTCAGCTAGAAGCATCCATCACATCTTCTTTCCAAAACATCGGGGCGCTTTCCCACGGGGAAAGGGACCAAAAACCGGCAGGACCCACCGACCCCACCGACCCGGTCGGCAGGACCTACAGCAGTGCCATCGACCTTTGGAGCAGTGGCTGCATCTTCTCCGAGATGCTTCTGCGACGCCCCGTCTTCGAGGAGCGACGGAGCCGGTCCCGGCACCGACGGAGCCTTTGAGTCATTCCAAAGGATGGGCTGCGGGCCGCTGCGGGGGTATGCTATGGTATGGAAGTGGGGAACGAGCCCTGGCGGTTCAAGTTCTTTCTTCCAAGTACTGGATGAACAAAAGAAGGAGTCTTTTTCAGTTTTCTGGTGCGATTCCTCTTTGGCAGACCGTTTCCGAAGTCGGACTCCTTCGGACAGTCTCCTTCGAACTTCGTGTAGGGCTTCATCAATCCCAGCTTCCCAATTCCCAAAGGCGAGTTCAGGCTTCGTGTTTTTCAATCGGAAGGGATTCGTCCGATGCGGACGTGGCGCGTTCGAGCACTCGCGCGCTTGATGGGTGTGGCGGTGCGGAGCCAGGGCCGTGCGGAGCTTCATCAACTGGGCCTGATCTTCGGGCTGGTGGGTCTGCCGGACGAGGAGTCTTGGCCGGGCTGCAGCCAGCTGTCGAACTGGAAGGCGACTGAGAGCTTCAAAGAGATCTTCGAGCCTGGCTCCTGGGCTTTCGATTCTGGAGGCGTTTTTGGAGGCATGGGCCTTTTTGGAGTCGTGCACAGGGGTGAACAGAAGAGGTAGCTGGGGGGGGGAAGATTCTTGGGACCTTTTCTGAAATGAGGACCTACCAGAGGCCTTTGAATGAACATAATCTCGGTGATTGAAGCCTCATCAAACCGTCCACCGAAACGCTTCGTCCGAGTTCGACTCGCCTCATCCATCCGCGGTGACGTGAGTTAGGCTGGCGCGAGCTCTTCGCCTTTCCACCGGAGGGTGCACTGTCAGAGCTGGGGCTGGTGTTGCTGCAAGGGCTTCTGGAGTGTTGCCCTGAGAGGCGAAAAGGGAAGGGGTGGGGACCCGGTGGGGATGGGAATAGATGAAGCTGCTTCCGGTATTCGGAGGGTTTTTCCCTCCTGAAAGAGGAGTGAGCATTTATTTTTGTCTCCGGGAGCGTTTGTTTCTGTGGAGATGGACAGAACTCAAGTGGCTCAAACTGTAGAAATCACATTGACACTTGTGATGGGTTACTTGGCCAATCTAGAAAGAGGTTGGAATGAGAACTACTCGGCTCACCAAGTGTAACCCTAGGATTCGAACCACCGGTAATTTAACAGATCAACCATTTACAACATGGCCTTAGACTTCCAGGGGTCCTACTAGCGGAGAACTGTATACTTGGTCCTTTGCTGCTTCGTTGCTTGGAAGGCGCTTGGCAGCTGCTGCAGCAGTCGAGCATCCTTACTTTCAGGAGGCTGGAGAGTCGCTGGTGCCAGGTGGTGTTGAGTCACATCCTCCGTTCGGCAGTTGGCACCGTAACTCCAATGGAAGTCACTGGTTGTTCGGACTCTTCTGGGCTCGACATGGCCCATGTGTGGAATGGACAGCGCGCACATCCCGGCGAGATTCGCCAATTGGAGCTGCCTACTGTACTTCTGAGTTGCTTCGAGAGCCATCGGCTTTTTCGTTCTTTGGTCTGTCCACGGAGTCCATGGTGCGGAAAGCGTGTGACATCAGGAATTGGTGTTTTTTGATGGGTTCTTCTTTCAAAGCACTCTTTGGGAACTCACACCTCCCCAAAACCATCCCGTTTGTAGAGGCCAAAACCAAATCCCATGGTTTTCCCAGGCGCCGCAGCCACAAGAGCCTGGCATGCTTCCGACCTTCAAGGAGGGCCTCTGCCGATGGCCCCCGACCTCAAGCGTCCCCATGTTCGTTTGGGCATGTTTTTGGTCGCGGGTTTTCCACCGGAGTGTGACGATGAAGCAGTGACTGGATGAGGATCTTTTCTGAGAAGCCCATTCCGGGATGATGAGGACTTTTCTCTGCAGAAAGCATCCGAACCGCATGGGCTTGGTCCGTTTTGGGGCGGATTTGTGGGTCTTGGGGGGCGCCACGGCGCTTCCCGATCTTCGCTTCGACGCACCGACCGGTCCCGTGCCGAGTCCGGTCCCGCGCCGCGGCAGGAGTCCAACACGCTGACGCGGCACCAGTCCCGATGAGCAAAAAGGTGACTCAAAGGCACCTCTGGTGATGTGATTCCTGGTGATGAGCCATTGGGTGATTTTTGGGGAGGATGGAAGGAGCCAAACATGCCATTCTGAGCCAGAGAGCTTTGAGGGTGACAAGGCCGCAGTTCAGAAGCGGTTGAGAACACGTGCATCGTGTAGAGTCTTGATTCAACACAACCTCCCCAAACATGGATGGCAACACCTCTTCAGTTGGGGGGTTGAACTTCAGTTCTATTCATTAAGCATGGCGGAGCTGACATGGTGCAACGATCCAAAGGTCAAGAAGCACTCGGTGAAGTCTCATTCTAGTGTGATATCCCTGATCTCCCCTCCCTTCATTGTGAGGTGTATATATGATTGCGATTCTTTCCGGGTGTCCCTGGGAACCCGTCTAAAAAAACCAAGCACGCAGAGATGGTGGACCCATCCCCCTGCAGTCCTTCTCTTGCAGCGACCATCGCGTTCCAGCGCCGTCACCGGCTCGAGTGTACCGGTTTCGGAGACCGGACGACCCGAGCAGCTGGGTCGACCGAGGGGTCCGGGCCCAGGTGCTGGCTGCAACCCCGCGAGCTCTTGGCGTTAGCATCATGTGTTACGAGCTCACCATGGTGAGCCCCACTGCTTGGCCGAGGATTTGATGGCAGTGGAACCATCCCCGGACCATGTCAGGGCGCCCAGACGTCGGACGGTCGCGGTGACACGGGGTGACACGCCTCGGCGTCGCCGTGCCCAGGCCATCGGGTGATGTGCCATTTCCAGCTCCTCGCGAGGCGAGGGCAGGGCGGGAGGATGGAGGGAGGGAGCGTCCGGGGCCGGTGCGCATGTTTGTTTTTTGCCATGCCGGGTGCTGGATGTGGTGCCGGTGCATCGCATCGCAGATGGTCTAGAGCTCGAAAGCGACCCGATGTTTGTGCCCGAGGCACCGATGTGTGGCGAGCGAGAGGCGACGAGAGGTTTTACCCCACTCTCAGAGCTAGCATTTTGGGGCAGGCTTGTCGACTGGCATCCTGCGACAAACCTCGACCCTTGGGAGATCTCAACGAACTGATTGCCACTGTGCAACACCCGCATTTCCGCGCGATCCGTGGAACACTGGCTCAGCCACGGTGCGGCTCCGGACGTGAAGGGCTGAACTCGCCCTCGTCCGCGCCATGGTGGTGAGTGTGGGCCCAGAGCTTCAATGGGCCGATGAGGTGGTGTGTGAGAAGGTGGATGGCAAGGTGGTGCCCAAGGACGGGTGTCGGGACGGAGTTTTGGTTGAGAATCCTTCCGGTGGTTTCTCCATGTGGGCAGATTCGCAGCTTCTGGCCGACAGGCAGCTTCTGGGATGGTGCGTTCTGGGGCGGATTGTTCTTATGTTTTTTTACTTCAAGTCTTCGGATCTCTTTCATTTTTTTGGGGGGACAGGCTCAGAAATTGAGCTTCTCTTAGAAAGTTGCTTCACATGTTCGCTGGCACACCCATACTACCTTCGGTGGTGCAACCAAAAAAGGAGTCGGAGGCCCCATCTGTGTAAGACATCTTGGGGTGCCAGTGCCATCGAACCTCTGAAACCACTGTAGAACGTCTTCTTATCCATCCCGCCTTTTTGCGACTGGCCAGGCCCAGGACTTGGCAGGTGAGGCGGAGGTGATCTGCCTGCTGAATGAGTCGCGGGTGCGCAATGCCAAGTATGATGTGCCTCACTATGTGGTGGAGGGTGGCTTGGAGAGTGGGAGAGGGTTGGAGAGTGGGAGAGGGTTGGAGTGGGGAGGAGGCTTCGGTCAGGTGTGGTTTGAGGAAGAAGGAGCTTAGTGCCTTAGGGCTCAGATACTCTTCTTTCAATCGCTTCTGGTGCACATGCACAGTGACCCGCGCAAGATGTACGTTTCTGCAGTGACCAGCGCACCCCCCACCCGTCGTGCCGCGATGCCTCTCGAGGCTACTACCACGATGATGGGCCGCCGGCACTGGATCAAATCGTCGAAGCCTGCCGGCTCATCCATGAGAAGCTGCAGGTGCGGGTGCGAAGGGGTGGGGGTATACGCGTATGGCTGCGGGTCCTGGACCAGTTGGAATTGAAGGCATTCTGAAGAATGGGACATTGATCTACTGTTATTGATTGATGATTTGGTGAGCTTGGCTTGTAAAACCCCAGACACAAGCCAGCCTGATGGGCTTGTGATGCCCTCGGTGTAAGAAGCGGCTCCAGCTACTTTTTGTGTTCCTTTCCGTGAGGTTTCACCTACACCTGCATGTGCAGGGGTGAAAACATTTTTGGCACTTGCATCAGTTTGCTCTCGTTTCTGCCAGCCGCGCTCTTTCAGGCCAAGAAGAAGGTCTTGGTCATTGCTCCCGCCGGAACTGAGTACAAATCGCACAGGCATTTCTCAGGGCTTTGTACTGCCGCCTATCCATTGCTGATGCAGCTCAGCGCAGCCTTGGGTTTGGGTCGGTGGAGCTTTTGCAAACCATTGGCCCATATTGGCCCTGGTGGCAGTGATGCGCACCTAGGGAGTTGAGAAACCTCATATTATGTCATATACAACTATGATCTATCTATATATAACATACAGATGTATCCATACTTTGTGGTGTGATTTTCGGCCTGGCTCGGTTAGAGGCGACCTCACCTCGTTCGAGTCTTCACTCTGCGTCTCAGGAAGAAGGTCACGGTCGACCAGGCCTATGCTCCCTGGGAGGGCCAGAACTTGAAGTTTCGGCATCTCGGAGAGATCGCAGGGGGCCAGAACATGGGGGGGGTTGGAGAGTGTGGGATGTCTTCAACCCAGTATCCCCACAGCTACTGGGTTGAGCTTGCCCTTCAGCTACGAGTGTTGGATGTTTTGGCAGTTTGTCAGGATCCACCGGATCCGAGGTGTCCACCATTCTCGCGTTGCTCGTAGGTCCAGCTCTCGGTGACACCGCGATCTCGTGGTCGAACGATTCGCGCCTCGTTCTGAACGACCCAGTTCTGGCAGGGTCTCCCCCGGTGAAGCCATGCTTGGATTGAAACACATGGGGCAAAGGTCCAGCTCCTCCAGCTAAGCCGCCATGCCCCGTGTTAGAATTTGAACTGACATTACAATTCAAGCTCTTCCTGGATGGATTCATATGGATTCAATGGATGCCTATGACACCGACACTGCACTTTAACCTCTTCCTAGCTCATCCTAGATCCACTCTTCTTTTGGAAAGAGCCTCGCCGCGGAAGCTTCTTCCTTTGCTCCGCACCCAGGCCGCACTCCTGGGCGTCCGTGCGCAAGCCAGCGCCCGAGGGGGGCATGCTGCTGAAGACGTGCCTGGAAGCCTTGGAGGTGGCCACGAGGCGCCGCCGTTCCGCGCCACAGACGTTCCCGCGCGACGCGACGAGCGGAACCGGGTGCCGGACCAAGCCGCCGTGGGGTAGGGGGTCTGGAAGGGGGGGGCACCGGCGGCTTTGAAGCGAGGGAAAGGCGAGGGCACCGGGGCTAGGGGTGTGTTGGGTTGGTGCCTCGCACGAGGCCAGGAAGGCAAAATGGTAAAAGTATATACCACAGGAAATCCTAGACCTATGGTCTGTGGTTTGACTTGGTCAGGGTTAGTCACTCAGTTAGTCGCTAAGTTAGTCACTAAGTTGACGGGGTGCTTTTATTATCCACTCACTTAGGGACTAAACACGGCCGCTCGGTGACGCCTGGTGTTTGTTTCTATGGAACACACCTCTCCACTTCGTCGCCGGTTTCAGCGGACCGAACGGAGGCTCAAGTGGCTTGATGTGGAGGCCTTCGACTCCAAGGTGCCGAGAAAAGGGCTCCGCCTTTCGACCGTTTTGACCGCTGACTACCCGAGTGTCGAGACAAGGAGCATTGACCGTGGTCCCAAGAGTGGATGCCCAACTGGTGTTAGACCGTGGGAGGCGACGTTTTTGATCCACGGCCATTGGATGCTATTGGTGTTTGTGACCTGAAAAAATGGTTTGCAAAGTCTGGTCGTAAACTTGGGCTTCTAGAAACACCTGAAGGTGCCTTGGCCCCTACACATACGCATCTTACACACATGATGTTAAATGCAAAGCCAACGAAGCTCTAACTCCTTGTAGCACCCCGGCCCCAGGGCCGAACGGCCCGCCTCTCCAGGCATATACGGAGCTTTGCGCCAAGTGGGATGCTACATGGGTGATCCCTGGCGAGATCCTCCTCATGGCAGATCCGGCTTCTCGGATTGGGTGGAGGGCCCTTCTGGACAAGGGGTGGATGGTTCGGATGGTTGGGTGTTTGCACTGGGTGTTTGGATGTTTCCTCCAGATGGGGCATATGCAGGGATGATGACCTTCTTTCAACCCATACGGGCCTTGCGCCTTACACGTTCTCGTGTTGGCTTTTGAATCCCAGGACTCGTCAACACGGTGGATCCAGCTTCATACAGCAGTGATGCCCGAGCTGGCGGTTCCATCCAAGAGAGGTTCAGTGACCTTATAGGACCCGTAAGCTGGGGTACCTATGGGATAGTCTAGTTCGGGTCCTTCAACCTCTGTTCCACTAGTCTTAGTCTTTGTCCTCCCTCACCTTTTCACCGCAAGCAGAACCGCGAACCGCGAACCGCAGATGACCACGGTCATGGACCCGGACCCCGCCACCTGCAGCCACCTGGTGGGCCCTGAGACGCCCAACTTCGCCGCGTGGTTCGAAGTGCTCAACGTGGCGGGCCTCGTGCGCCTCAACAAGGACCGAGAGTCAGGCCGAGGGGCGTGCTGCGGGTCACGCGTCACCCGCAGCGTGCTGCGGGCGCGCTGGAGTTGAGTGTTGATGTGCTGCGCGGGAGTGGGAAGAGAGAGTCGTCTTCGATGCTTGGGGTGGCGATAGGCGGTCTGGGGGTCTGGGTGATGGAGATAGTGTCCGCGCATGCAGCGGTGAAAGGCCTCGAGAAGAGCTACGACGCCAAGAAGTTCAAAGATGCTGGCTTGCTTCACGTCCAGGCTCAGTGGGTTTGAGGGGAAAGGCAGGAAGAAGAGGCTTGAAGCCGCTCCTGTAGGAAACTTCTGCACCTCCGGCACCTCCGTCCATTTTCCTGACCAGTATCTTGGAGCCTCAACAACATGTAGCTTGACCTTCCAGGTAGGTCAGCCAAGGTATTATCCTGGTTCTGACCCACAGCCATGTGCCTGACTAAGTGCGTGCTTTGAGTTGTCATGAACGTGACTCATCATAAAGGATACTGATGCCGCTGATGCCCAGATGCACTAGTCTTGCCGGTATCATCTATCCTGGTCCCATCCCTTAACTGTCCTTTTTGACATTGCAGCGCTGGGAATCCCACTCTTGGGGCCCGGGGCTGCCACCTGTGAGGCCGCATATGACGACACCGGAGGAGGTGTGCCCGACAAGGCAGGAATGGTCGGTTCCCACAAAGCCCTCGGCAGTGTTCTCCAGAAGGAGCTTTGAGCCAGGAGCGGACATGTATATATATATATATACATATATGTTAGAGGGATGCTCCTGAGTACCTGCTAGAGATTCCCACAGGAGCCCGGGGGCGTGTGTCCAAAGATGGGAACACGTTGTAAACTCGTGTTTTCAACATCTTGTTGATGTTGGTGTTACTTACCTTGCAACCCACGGTTTGTAGAGGCAAAGGAGGCCACCCCATCGAATTGACAGAGCCTTACCGGAACATGCCTCGTGGAAGACGACATTTACATACAAGCATATGTGTGTGCGTGTGCGCGCGCGTGCATACTTCTTTACCAGTATATATATATATAGTTTCAAAGGGGTGCCGAACTTGGAGGAGAGGGGTGCACAGAACATCCACCCTAGCCCTAGTGACTAAAAACCACCCAAAATGTGGCTCCTCGTGTGCATATTTCAACTGATCTCACCATTTTTTTCCTCAACTGATCTGACCGTTTTTTTCTCCAGGCCATTGCCAAGAAGGTCCTCGATGGCTGCAGCGAGGTGGCTGAAGGGAAGGCCATCGCTTTTCACTGTAAGGCCGTCCTGCGGGTGCGAGTGGAATGCGCCAAGAACATAGCTCCAGATCTTCAAAGCAAGAAGAGTATAGGGCTAAAGGATGACAGGGTGAGACCAAGTGTTTTTCAGAGGCGGGGCAAGTGCTGTTTTGAAAGATGTTTTCGATAAACCACAGAGACAAAGTGCCACTGGTGCCTCCTTTGTAGACTTGAAACGGTTTGGCCGTTCGCCTGAGGGTGCGGCCAGGATGAATCAGACGTGTCGAACATCCACGAAGATCGGCAGTCACAGCCACCATCATAAACCATGGATCCAGAGAATTCATTTAAGCCCTATTGGCCAAGAGGCAGAGAAGTTTTCGGCAAGGCTTTTGGACCGCCTTTCTTCCTCTTTGGCTCTCCTACCGGGCACCGTTCTAGAGTTCTGTAGGGCTTGGAAGGCTGTGGGGTCGATGGCGAGCCTATGACCACCCTCAGCAGCCCAGTCAGCCCATCCCGTTCTCCTGGCGGTCCGGTCAGGCAGGCTTTGGGCGCTCGGGTGTCTGCGCCGCGCTCCTGGCGATCCACCGCTATGATCTGTCTGGGCAGTGCCGTGGGCTGGGCAAGAAGTCGAGCGAAGCGGAGCTTTGGGCAGGGTAGGGGCGTAGCATGGCGTAGCCTGGGGCCTTGTTGTTATGTGAAGCTTCTGACAAGTGTGAAAGGTGAGCTTGGAACAACTTTAGAGCGATTCTCCACCACGACTTGAAATTGAGCCATCCTCATCCATGAAGGAAGGACAGATCCCTACGAAAGTGCAGTACTTATGGTGTGTTCAGATTAGTTTGAACCCGGCACCGCTCCCACACCTTGCACACGCAACGCCACGCCAGTGACGACACGGCTTTTTCGCTTTGGAGTCATGAAAGCGCTCCGGTGGGTGGTGAGAGCCTGGTCCAGGGATCCAGGAACTTGACTTTTGGGACTCCAAGCACGGACCAGGACCGTGACCGCTTGACCGTGTTTTTGAGCCGTGGAAGAAGAGGGTGGTAAAAAGGGGCATACATATCGTGCGGAAATGAAGAGGTTTTGCAATTGCGTCTTCCAATGTGGGAAAATCGAAGTAGAACCTGTGGAAGTCAACCGAGTTCTGAGTCTCAAAAAGGCTTTGGAACTCACTCGTCCAGGCATCTGCTGGCCTGGCTGCGCTTCTGCCGCCCGGGCACCATCACCACCCTTTCTCAAGCCCGATTTTTGGCCTCGCCCCTGGGAGATGTCCATCGGGTTTGGCTGGAGGTTTTGGGGTCGGAGCTGGTGGAGAGGTTATTTTTCTTGGTCGGAGGCGGGAGGCGATGAGGATGGGCGAGCTGGTGGTTCAGGTTGGTTGAGCATGCTGGAGTTGTGGCCACGCTGAAGTAGGTGCTTGATAGACTTTTGAGACCCAAATGATCAAGCAACATCGAGCAACACAAGTTCGATTCAGTTTGATGATGTTTCTTTTGGATTTATTCAGATTCTTTGCCCTGCAAGGGTGCTCCAATAAGTGGACGAACCTTTCATTTTCACTCAGCATGGATGTAGATGGACGCCATCTTTGACTTGAACACGTTAGAGCTTTGGCCTTTCCTTTGCTTCTGGGCCGGGCTGTGTGGGTCCAGCTGCGGCGCCGCAGCACACCATGCAAGGCTTCAGGGACGACAAAAGCTGGAGGAGTGGATGTCTGAGTCCGAGGGTTGCTGTACAATGTGTTAGACTCCGAGTCTCGCGATGACGAGCCTCAGAGGCACCTTTCTTTTTTTGCGGAAGAGATCGCCCGGTCGACGCAGGGGGGAAACCTGTGCCTTTGGCTTAGGGGCTTGGGGCGTTCAGCCATTGCGAGCAATGTTTTACCGCACCAATGAGCAAGCAAGATGTTTGCAAGAGGTTTCCCCGAGGAGATTCCGAGATCCTGCAGTGGTCGTGGGTGGATCTAGCAATTCGAAGGCATGGCAGGTTTTTGCGCTTCATGGCCGAACCGTACTTCATTCGTTATGAGAGTGGCCGAGTGGCCTCCCACTTCTTCGGGCCCCTTGGAGAGGTGCCGACGAGTCGGCACCTGCCATGCCGACCAAAGACGCCTGGATAAAGCTCCGGCGAAGAACCCGCGTTTTCGACGCTTGGGTCGGAAAGGTGAGACGCATCCGGGCGTTGGGAGCTCCAGATGAAGATGCCTTTGGTGGCATGGCCAGTCTCAAAGGGCTTGCTACTGCTAGGAATTCAAGGCGTTGAGCAGAGTTAGAGGGGAAGTCCCACCTATTGCCCACAGACATTGTGCAACGCGATTTCTGTCCCTTGCGTGGCAGGCCTCGGTCGGCACCTGTCCTTGCCTCAAACAGTGAAGCTGCACAGGGGTGAAGGTGAAAGAGCGCGGCTCACCCTCTTCGATCTCCGGTATCTCAGGGGAGGAAAATGTACCGATTTCATTCACCTACTTGGTTCGCCCTGATCGCATCTTCCTGGGGATCGGCCACGGAACGGCAGTGCGCGTGCCAACGGCCGGACCGTCCGAGGGGACGCAGAGCTCGAGACATCGCCGGCCGATCTGCCGAAGCCACAGAGCTCAGATGTGCTCAGATGTGCTCAGTGTATTGGCTGTTCGTCATGACTCGAAGAGAGTGATGGGAGCAGGAAGGTTGGTAGGGTGTTTTTCGAGTGAGCTTGCTGGTAACGGGAGAGAGATCTTTTTTTTTTTTCTCCTCTTTCGATTACCATAGGCTGTCGCTCGCGGTCGAGATGCATCAAATTACAAATTACTTGCATACATTCATCCGTGGTAGTCAGGCCCTCTCTCAGCAGAGTGGTTAAAGTTCTTCGCCAGTTCCTTTATGGTCTCCAAGAACTCGGTTGGAATTTCATCAACCGGTTCAGCGGAGCCACTCTGGCCTGCTTCCACGATTGCGCAGAGCGCTCTGCACAACCCTGGGGGGTACTCCTTGAGGACAGCAGTCTTCCAGCTGCCGTCGGCAGCCTTCCCCAGGGCAAATGTCGTCGGTAGCGGGGAGGTCCGCAGTGAGAAAAGGAGGCTAGCATTATCAGGGGCCCCGTTGATGATGAACAACGTAGTAGGTTTCGGCGTCAAGCCACCGTAGAATCCCTGTAAAATCTCCACCAGCTCGCACTGCGGAAACCTCAGGAAAAACCTAAGGATCTCGAGACGCCAGATGCTAGGTCGGTTGACATCTTGGCTGATATCGCTGGGGTGTTCAAGGATCGACGTGGCACCATACCTGAGAGTGAACCACATCAGTTTGAACGTGATTCCGAGCAAGAGACTTCCAATGGAAACCTGTTTGTGCTCCTTATGGGTCAGGTCGACGTTACCCCATGGCATCCCTCGCCTCCGAACTGGCCTTGGGCCACCGGGCAGGGCATTAAACCGGGCAATAGACCACGTCTCGCACGGCGGGCCCGCAATCCAGGCTACTAAATAGCCAGATCGCAGAGCTTCCACAAACATGCTAAAGGTCTCATCTCTGCTTAGGTCGCCCCATCGTTGGTCAAAAATAATGTCTATGGACACAGCGAGGAATCCTCGCGGCTCCAAATATTCCTGTACATCATGACTTCGTCGAGCACCTGAGAACAAGTGAGCTACCATCCTAAGCCGGTACCTCACTCTTTCGGGATGGGCCAAAGTCAATGTGCTCATCACCAGTGATTGCGCCCGGAAAAAGGACATGGCACGTTCATGCGTGAGAACATCAGCTTCAGGCTGCCCAAGGAACCATTCGCCACATGCCTTTGTCCTAAAAATCTGGAACGTAACAAGGATGGAGAGCGATGCCTCTTCGTGTCGTTGCAACCAAGCTTCACTCCATTCCTGAAACAAGTCAAGAATTTCGTCATGATACAGGAAAGTAACCTTAGTAGCAACACGGAGGGCTTCAACAGCTTCATGGGTCGTCACGGCTGTGCTCAGGGCAGCCTCCCAGGCTTGGCGAAGCGTCACTCGTTGCTGCGCAGACACCGTCAAAGCACCATGAAGCTCTTCCGATTCCGGCTTGGGCCCTTCTGCTTGCATATATGGTGCAGGGAGCTCACTACGTGACTGAGCAGCATGTCGACTATTGACTCCAGGCTCGCGCTCGACTTGGAGTCCTCGCCCCTCGTATAACTGATAACAGTTGTCTTGCCTGTTCACATGATTCACCAAATCGACATGGCTAGGGAAAACTTTCAAGCACGCTTGACATGTAACTCCTGTGACGAAATCACGAGCCCGAGCAGCTCGATTATGGCGCTTGAATGAATGGACCGCACAGGCCGACGCACTTTCGAAGGTCCGTTGGCATTGCAGGCAGTAGTGTCGAGCCTGGCTGATAGGTGCCATATTCGGTAAGCAAATTCCAGCTTCGAGAACCTGCTCGTAGATTTCCACATGCCATTTTTCCCACTCATATCGTCTTTGGAAAAAAACCTGACTCCTCGCTGTGGCTCTGCGAAGGAGGGCTTTCCAGGCAGCCGAGGGGCGGGCCATGAACTCTTGCCAACATTGCCAGTCTTGAGCAGGAGAGGGCACCTCAGCTTCGGGACAGAATTGTTGGGGAGAGGGATCAAACAAACAAACAGGGCTCAAGAAAAAGCACAACTGAGGACAGAAAGACAGAAAGAAAGAAAGCAAGAAAGAAAGACAGACAGAAAGAAAGGAACACACAGAAAGGAAAAGAAAGGAAGACAAAGAAAGAAAGGAAGACAAAGAAAGAACAAGAAAGGAAGACACACATTGCGACCGCATAGGGGGCCACACGCTCAATCTCCGGACCCTCTTGGTCCAGTTGACCCCAACAAGCTACCACCACCACCACGACGACGACGACTACTACGACTACGACTACGACTATGACTACGACGCCGACAACAACAACAACTACTACTACGACGACGACGACTACTACGACCACTACGACGACTGCGACTGCGACTACGAAGGATTCGGAGGGCTTTTGATGATAGGGAATGTAAATATCGTGCGGTCTCCGGTCGTGTCTCCGGCGTGTCTCCGGCACGGGTCTCCTGTCGTCTCCGGTTCTCCGTCACGTATGACATGTTTGCAAAACTTGGGCCTGCAGATGTCTCCACAGAAGTTTGGCTCTAAAAGCTGGTCTCTTCCATCAGCATTAGTGACCACGGTCTACCAGCTTCATGTCCGGCGGTTGGAGTTGGCTCATCACATGTGTTTCATCAAGAACTCTGGCTTGCTGTTGCACCTTAGTGCGTGGCTCACCATGGAATGGCACCTTCCCTCTAAATTCAACCCTCGCGTGGCTCGTCGTCGGGTGGCCCAAATGGCATGCTACATTGGAACGCCCCTTTTGTTGGGTGGCTCACAAACGGTGTGCTGCATTGGATTGATTGGCCCTTTCCGCTTCTATATGTACCATTGGGTGGCTCACAGAAGGTATGCTACATTGGAATGGCCCCTTCCTCCTCTAAAGTTCATTGGAAAAGCTCATTGCCCCATTAAAAATTTCACTCGAAAGAGAAAGCCAACCGGGGAGTGTGGGCCGTTCAGTGACCTGGTGCACCACGGCCCAATCACGCCAGAGTTCCGATCTTGGCGCAGAATACGTCTTCAAGTCCCTTCGCGTCAGAAATGTCCAGTGTAAGCTTGGAAATCCAGAAGCCAAGATCTGCATGTTTGCTTCTTTTTTGCGTAGCAGATGCATGATCCTTGCACAATTGGGAGCGTGTGCCGACGCAGCCATGATGGTCAAGGCTTCCTAGTTTTCCAACTCGTGCGTGTACAAGCAAGTCGTTCTCCACGTGTACAAGCGAGAGTGCGCAACCGAGCGCCATGCTGGTTTGAAATCGGTTCTTGTGACGCATGGTAGCATGGCCAGGCGGATGAGAGCGGGCAAGAACAAGTTATATAAATCAAAAAACAACGCACCATAAATTAATCGACGTTTCCACTGCCGCGATCAAGTCCCGTCTGGCAATCTCTTCTTTTCCGTGCGCGCAGGCAAGATGCTTCAGTAGTCACATTGGAATTCAAGCAGCGCCAGCCAGACGGCAACCAAGGGGCCATACTCGTTGAGCAATAGGCTGAGAGGCTTTGGGAACAGACAATGCGGCTCGAGAAGAGAGAGAACTCTGCATTTTCCAGTTGGTGGCTTTGGTGCCTATCGCAAGACAAGTATGTATCGAATCTAAGCGTTTGGCGCATCTTAGCTTCTGTTGTCATGAAAGCTAGCACCAGCTAGCTGGAGTTGCCCTTGCTTTAGCAAGTGAGGGGCTGGAATCCTCGGGATCGCCGAATCACGTGAAAACTTCATGTGTAGGGCCCCCCCCCGTGGGTTCAACTCCCCCCTCGGACGCCTCTGGGACACCTCTGGGGCATCTCTTATGGCATCCACTTTGGCTCAACTCCTCCGGGATACGGTGCAACAGATTCAACAAGCTCACAGGTTCGTGAACACATCGGATGCATCGAACAGTGTGGCAAAGTCCAGCCGCGCTTCCTTAATTATCGGGGACTTCAATTCTAAGGTTGGCTGTGTCATTGCTGTTTGTGTGTCTTACATGTTCACAACGTTTTACCTCATGAGCATTTGCCTCACTCCGCTTGATGTCCCACCAGTCCGGATGCACCCCTGCTAGCTTTCGTCACCTACCCTCGGCCTCAAGTTGTGTATGTTTTCTTTTGGAACCCTACCACGCCAAGGCCACGAGCCGACACTGCCAGTGTTTGCCCCAGCTCGGGGATCAGCGGGAAGCAGTTGTGGTGGTACCGGTGATAACCATTGTTGGTAGAAGCCAGAGTGTGAATCATGCTTGCCCTGCTTTGGGGTCTCCCCAGGCACTGCGCTGGCAAGCTCTTCCTCCCTCCCAGCGTCCAGTGGTGTGGCCGAGGCCTGCTGAAATTGGCCTTCTGAGTTGTTGAGCTAGCCCCAACAATTCGCAGATTATATTTGCATAAAAGAATCCCCAAAAAGTCATTTCCAGGTCAATGACCACAGAAACACGACAGAGGTTAAGTTAAAAAGGTGAGCCCGACAGACCGTATTGACATTTCCTGGAAAATCATCATGGAAAGCGGAAAACCACCGTTTGTAGAAGACAATTGTCATCCAAGGGGCCATGCCATCCATTTGCATAATGGTTTCAGGGAGTGTAGGAAATCGTTTTTGGGTGCTGGTGCTCAAGATGGCTTTGTGCAGGATGTTATTTGGGAAGGCTTAGCCTTTGCGCTGGGGACTCAGGCTTAGGCTTTCCAGCTTGGGTGGGCCACGCTACCTAGACTCTATAGACAGCACTGCGAACATGTTTGATCAGGCTGTCCATTTGCTTGTCGAACATGATCGGATATCAATTATTTTTAGGCGCATTGGGCTGCATGATGTCACCCTCATGATGTCTAAAAATGTTAGCACGGTCTGCAGCTCATCCACTTGCGCCAGATGCGGTAGGGTTTACTGACTTAATGCACGGCGCCTGATTTGAATGAATTACTTAATTATTCAGTGTTTTTGGTTCTTGATTTAAACACTTGCAACGCAAACCAAAAGTTCGCTTCAGCTTCACTCGGGACTCGGCAGCTTTGCTGATGATCTGGGCTCAGGCAAGACTTGGGCCCTTACCGGTCGTATGCCTCGTGCGCAGAGGACGGACGGCGTTGTTAGTTGGAGACAATCCAGTTGCGATCAAAGTTGGCTTGCTTGAGGAGAATGCTGGCATATAAGAAACCAAAGACTTGGTGGATCGTTTGGCTTGATTCCTCCGGTGTTTGGTCAGCTCTCACCGAGCTCTCGCCCAGGGAAACCCGTTGACCAAGCCGCGACTGGAGGATGTTCATTTGATTTCCAGCTTCCTCGAGCTGACACCATTGACCCGAGTGGTGCCCTCCGTCCGGGTGCCTCAGTCAGTGCCCGCAAGAACGGAGCTGGGTTTCAGCGCCAGCGCCATGCACGCCAGAGGATTGGCTCCCAACGGCGACAAGAACGGATGTTTGAGATCGACCACGACCGGAAGCGACCCCTAGAGTCACATGGTAGGGACCGCAAGTCATGCGCGTCCGTCATCCATGTCCAGCCTGAGCAAGTGCCGGGAATCGTTGTGTTCCTCAAGCAGGACTTCGCCTCACCCTGCACTAGAGACACAGGTCTGAGATGTTTCAGTATCAGGTTCCCATCCCCCCGTGTCTTCAGTTGCCCCTCGCCACCCAGAAGATGACAGCAACCGCGATGCCAACCTCGCTTCAGGTCGTGAAGCTACTGTTCCGGGTGGTCAGGCGGGGGAAGAATCAGGTTCGGGAGCACGGTGTGAAACCACTTGGTTCTTCCAATTCTTTTCCCAATCCCCCAGTTCCGGAGCACCCCCCGCCGGTGGTGAGCATCCGCCAGGTTTCTGCGGATGTGTGACTATCACGTGGAGGAGAGGCAGAAAGATCGACAGAGATTGGAGACGTGGCGCTTTGGGGAGGGCATTCTTCGATTTTGAGTGGGAAGCGGGGTTTGAAAGGCCGCGCATCGGTGTACAGGTACGATTGCAGGAAACACTCCAGTGCACAGGTAATCACAGTACAGGTCGGTCAGAACCAATGTATAGATGTAGAGATGCCTCCTTACTGCTCTAGTCGGTTGGCCTCAAGTCGGTGCAACGGACGCCCGGTCGTGGGGGGTTTTCAAGTCGCATCATCCCGCCGAGAGGACGTGTGCGTGATCCTCGCGCACGCCAGCGCCTATTTCTTGGACTTCTATGCCCAGCTGGGTGCCCGCGTGGAGGACCTGTTCCGAGAAGTGCGTCCCCATCTTCCAATTTTCCAAAGGCCCTACGTGTTGTGACCAGACCTTGTGGGTGGAACTAGCATGCTGAAGTGGCCCTGCATCTAAGATGTGCTGCCACCTTTGGCACACGCTCATCACAGCTTCCTTATCATAGGGCTCTTTGTGCCTGGTTCAGGTGGAACACGCAGGCTGTTTTGTACTGAGATGGTGAGACCTCCCGTGATTTGCCATGGGCATGGCTCGGGAGGGCATGCACTGCAAGCGAGCAGATCAACCTGTTCATTGCCGTTTTTTTTTCGACGAAAGCACGAGTTCTCTCGTGGCGCTCGGAACAGGGGCTCAGAACTCGAGTCCGTCGACGGTGTGCTTCCTTCGGCGAGGACGGTGAGGAAGTGGGTTATGTTGTGGGGAGCTTGATCTTCATCGCGCACAGTTTCGTCCAAGATGAGTGCAGGGCCCAAATCGCGCGGTTTGTTTTTTTTGCACCGGAGGTGAGGTAGAGGTTCTCGGCCCCAAATCCGGAGTGGTGAGCAGCATGCTGAAAGGGATGATGAACCATTTGTCGCCAGCGGTTATGTTTTATTTTTTTATAATTTTTTCCTCATGAGGGGGGCATCTTGGACAGAGTCGGCGTTGTTGTCGAGTCTTATGGTCCTACAGTAAGACCTACTTCATGTGATTGTTCTATGTGAGGAAGCAGCGCCAACTATATGAACTAACTAGACCAACGGAACCATTGAAACAGCTGGCCTTTTCAAAGGTCGTTGGATCCTTTCTTCGAAAGGGTGCTTGTGACTACTGGTGCTCGCCGCTCTGAGGACCTGCCCCCTGAATGTTTGGCACAAGCACCTCTTTAGGAAGTGCCCAGGGCCATCACAGTTTCTCCTGAGTCGGACGATGACGTGTGAGATTTCAGTAGGTTGGTGGCCCACCACCTGTAGAAACTTCTTCAAAAGACGGGAGAGGCCAGTCCACCCCTTTTCTCCACCCTTCAAGCCCAAACGTCCAAAACGGCCCAGGATGGTGGCGCCGCGCCGTCGTTGAAGTCCGCCAGGTACTGCAATGTCAAGACCCTTAACGCTGCCATCATGCAACTCATGAAGCTGCGCGTGGAGCCCCGGAGTGCCCAGGTTCCTTAGCGAATCCGGAACCGGTGTGGAGAACCGACCGATGGAGTGACCGCAAGCGATTGAAGGATTGGGGATCAAATGGGTCAGGGATGGTCAGGGCGTGTGGTTGGAAAGCTGCACTGAACATAAAGGTTGGTGAAAGGTCAGGATTCAGACAGAGATGTTTCTCCATTCAAGATCCACTTGCACGTGAACATGGATCCATGTGCATAGGACTTTGTGAGTTGGCGATGTTGGCCACGAAAAGATCACGCTTGAGGTCAATTGCGGATAAACAAGGTTTCACGTCCTTTCGGGTGCCCCGTATTCGCGTGGGCAGGCCCACACGAAATGCAGATTTCGTGTTGCGACGTTAGACGTTCCCGCAAAAAGTGTACTCGCATCTTTTTTTCTGCTTTCAAGGTGTCCGCTCTTTGTGGCGGTAGATCCACTGGTAAACTCTATTCCAAAGCCTGGCATGCTTCGTCCATTGACTTTGGCATGCTTCGTCCATTGACTCTTCACATGCTGGACGTGCTTCACAGTCGCGCAAGCCTGACAGGACTATCTCTGCGCAACTTTCTTGTGTCAGCCGAGCACCAGCTGCAACAAGTGTCAAATCAGCTGGGGTCACAAACACAATCATACACACAGCCACCAAAGCATAAAACCTGCCAACCTCTTGCTTACGCCCAAGTGTCGGGTACGCAGGGGCAGGTGGAGGCACCAGTGACGCCGTTTGGCCGCTCCATGCTCCGGCGGTGCCTTCGAAAGAAAGCTGCGAAGGCACGAACGAGCGTCACTTGTCCCCCCCCGCACATGTAAATGAACATCAACATGTTGGTCCACAAACGTGAGCCAATTCAACATCAAGAAACCGCACGCCTCCCAGAAAGGCCCCGGAAGTGGCCGTGACACCATAAACAAGGGTCTGAACTTTTAGACCCGTAAAAAGACTTGATCGTTCAATGACCTCTCTGCTGGGTCTGTTGGCCACCCAGCTTCACTGCTGATGCCCCCTGCTTGCAGCCTCACCAACCCTTCGGGCTCGGGCGGTTTCCACTACAGGAGGTTTCCGATCTTCCCCGGGGTTCCCGATGTCAGTCTCTGGTCCGCCGACCAGGCCAGTACCGGCTGGGAGCCTCAGTGGTCGGACGGGCGGTGGCCTCTTGGAACTGACGGTTCTTCGGCCATGGAACGCTCTGGTGGGGTCCAGACACCCAGAAGATGACCAATGCTGCAGCTGGTGGTTCAATCTGGGGCCCCCCCGAAGCCAAACTCTGGCCTCCAAATCGCGGCCAGACTACTGTATATACTTTATATACCGATGCAACGCCGTAGTGTACAATCAGCATCCAGGGGTATTGGTGGGATGAACAGCTCCGTTGTCATCCCCTTGTGGCAGTGGCAGTCTCCATGTTTCTTAGCAAGTCGTTGCTGAAGAGCTGTTACATGTCAATATCGGATTTTGTCCCCCTTTGTTTCTTTGACCTGCTGTAATGGAAGTAGGAAAACCTTCCCTTGCTTTGCTCCATTCCCTGCTCTTCCGACCTATGGGGACAAAATATGTCCGTGCAGTCACCATGCTGGACTACATATCCGAGCCGCGGAGCATCTTTCTCTCAGCACCCCCCCAACGGACGAATAGATGGTCCGAGTTTGCCCCAGTGAAGACCTCCGACTGCTGAGGCTGCGCTTGACGGAGGAGGATCTCGCTCGCCGAATGTCACTTAGTCACGGGAGTGGGGGCAACCTTCTGCAAGGATCCTGCATGGGAACACACCCTCCCTGCCAACCAGTGCGCAGGCGTACAGGTTTGGAAGGATTTTCTTGCGCAATTGCTAGGTGCTTGGAAATGTGGAAAGATGATGCAAGATGATCAACGCCATGTGCAAAATCTTGCCGAAGTAGCACCCAGATTGAAACACATAAGAGGCCATCAACCTTTAAACCAATCGTTGATGCCAACCATCCTTTGGGGTCACTTTATGATATTTAGTGCCAGGACACATGTTCGCCCCACCCCCACCAATCAAGCACAGGGATCATAGGTTTGGTTGTTCGCATGGAATTGCTGAGAACTTGATTGTTCAACAAACATATGCAGTGTGAAAGTGTCTTAATGTCACAATATTTATGTCATTTAATCACTCGCCAAAGCCGATGGCAAAGCTTCAAATGCCTAAAGTCCCTTTCGGAGTGTTCTTGCAGAGAAATTTCTCCCCCCTCAGAGTGCTTGGAGGAGAAGCATGAGTCCAGGGCAAAGTCATACCTCCCTTCTCGTCTTGTTTGTGAACTCTGTTGATATTCTTGTCAAGTCAAACCTTTCACCTCCTTGAGGGTCAATGGCAGTTTAGTTTGTCTAACCGTCCGCTCTGTTGCTTTGTCCGACGTGCTCTTCAACATTTCCTGCGATTTATTCAGCCAGGTGCCCCAGTTGGGAATGTGAAGAGTGGAAATTGTGACAGTGCCAGGATAGTGGTGATTTAGGCCATCCAGGCTTCTACACTATATACGTGTCCTTGACGCAGAACCTTGCTTCACTTCAGGCACTTCACTGTGGAGTGTAGGCCCCCAGAGAAGCACATGCACCGACTTGACTTGCAGCACTTTGCGGTTCAACAAGATTCCGAGTACTTATATAAGTAGAAGGAAGATCATGGTTTTGGCCGGGCTAGCAGGCTTCACCTACTGGAGGGACAACCCTGGCGCTGATGGGTGCGCTGCAGCCTTCGTAGGCGCAGGCGCTGCAGGAGCAGGAGGTACTTTGACTGGTGTTGCCATTGCAGGGTCTGCTGGAGGAGCTGCTGGTGCGACGGCTGCAGGTGCTGCGGCTGCCGCTGCGGCCGGGGCTGCGGCTGGCACTGCTACAGGTGCCGCAGTGGCTGCGACCGGCACTGCCGTGGCAGCCTCTGCTGCCGGTGCGGCAGGTGCAGCAGGCAGTGTAACTGCTGCAGGTAGCGTTGCAGCCGCCGCGGTGGCAAGTGCTGGAGCGACCCGGTCCTCGTCAATATCAATGGCCACAGCAGCAATTGCTGTTGGAGGAGGAGTTGGCGCAGCGAGCGGCCCTCTGGCATTGGGAGTTGCCATACCTTTGGGAATTGTAGGTGCTTCCACTGACAATGCCAATGTGGTTGTGACATGGGACTGCTGGAAGCAGATTGTGGATGATACAACCACCGAAACCTCAAGTGGCATGGCGTTGCATCATCTCCTGGCACGCCCACAAGTTGCGCAATGGGCATGGTGTGGAAATGAATTGCAAGTCACGAATGTTTGGGCACAGGTGTACGCTATCAAGCCTGTTTGTTCCTTTGGCAGGCACTGGGCTTTTCATGCGGAGAACATGGACGATTCATGAGGCTCAAGATTCACCTGTGCTGAACGGAAGTCACGACTTTAAGATGGAATTGATGCGTTAATCTTCGGGCATGTCTATGCAAGGACAGCTGCACTGCTGTCACACATGGTCTGCTCAAACGTATCAAACATCTATATAGAATAATTTCATAGTTTCTTGTTTAGGCAGTCATCATGATGCCAGAAACCTGTTATGTTTTGTGATGTTGAACGAGATGCCTTGAAACATGTTAGCTACGCACACACACACACACACCAATTTAAAGGCGACCGTTTGCACGGCTGGGGGGTCATTCTGACGAGTGTGATGGCAATGAGTGCCACACTCCAGGAAATCCGCCCATAGCCGTGCGCTCGCCGGAGTGATGGAGAAAAGCAGCCTAGCTAGATGCCATTGAAAAGATGGCCTTTGTCGTTGCACTCATGCTAAATCAGTGCATGTCATGCTGCACTCTGACATTCAGGCCGCAGAGCAGTTAAGTTTGGATGATGTCGCGCAACGAGCAGCCTTCTAGGCTTGACCTTTGTTGCGAGATGACAGCAAGAGTTCAACATTACACTTGCCGCAACAGGAGTCTCAGAGTGTCAGCATTCAATTTCTCGTCTCAGGTCTGGAAGTCAAGATGGAAGAGATCTTCGAAAAGGGCTGGCAAACAGGGTCTGTCTGCAATTTTTATCAAGTGACAGCGCCAGGAAACGTTCCTGTTGCCCACCGGAACCATCAGAACCTAACAAGTGAAAAACGTCTCACCCGCGTTGTAGATCTTTCACATTCTCAGACACAAAGACCGACCAGAGGTTCATGATGCAAAACGTTCTTGGCTTTCTACTCACGGCGAATTCAGGCTCCTCCCACGGAAGTTATCATCAGGGATGGATGGGCAAAAGACCCCGCTAGCCCAGCCTCTAACACATTTTCAGGCAGTTGGAGCCCCAAGGGAGTGCACAGCACTAAGCTAAAGAAGGAGGTTCCAACTCGCACTGAAGGATGGTCGCGTAGCTCCATCGTTGCCCTGATGGATGCCTGTGCCACTGAACCTTTCTGCGAAGGGATGCCAGTGGTTACTTGATCCAGAACCAGAGCCCTCCAAAGCGCTGCTGCCCAAATTCAGACGTTCAGACATTTAGCTAACAGATACGCCGTGCCCGAGTAGCACTGAACCCATTTGAAGCAGCCTTTGAAGCGTCCAGACTCCGCATGAAACCATCCCAGACAAGTCCCATTCTTCAAAACCATCACCCAGAAATGTGCATGCGTGGAAAATACAACTATTGAACAAAGCAGGAACTTAAGATGTACAACTGTCAATCACGTTCAAGTCGCCTAAGAGTCCACCAAGAACCTGACTTGCCATGATTGCCATTGCCCTCTTGTTATTTCAACTGCCTACGGGTACAATCATGTGTCTCTGTGAAGGTTGGCCCCTCCCGCGGGTCCCATTCGACCCGCCCCAGGGGCGCTTGGTAAGCCCGCTCTTGGCCGCTTCACCACGCCCACAGGGCTAGTAACCCTCCGAGTAGGTGAGAGGCTAGCTTCGGGGCTAGCCTCTCACTAAGTAGGTACAGTAGCCCCCTAGACCTGCACGCTTCGCCGTTCAGGTCCCGGCTCAGGGAGTCCATTGCGCGCTTCGATAACTTGGAAGCGGAATTCAATAGGCCACTCCTTGGGAGAATCGGGGCAGATGTTGGGGCGACGAAGCATCACGACGCACGGCGAGGACGAACGGGGCGATGGGTTCGTTGCTCCGGTGGCTCCGGTCGCTCGCAGAGGAAGCCACCCGGCCCAGAGGTTTGTCGTTCATCTCAATCCTTGGTCTCCCGGCCTCGGAAGGAAACGTCGGGCCTGACTGAACTGGTGCAACCCAACAAGGGCAGGGGGTTCCGAAGGTCACATGTTGAGCACAGAGAGTCTGAGCTTGTCATCGCAGACCGTCACAAGCCCGGAACCCAACATGTTTCTTGTTGAGGTGCAACTAGCAGTTGCCAGGTAGATGTTCCACTCTTTTCAGTCTGTTCATGGCCTGAACCCATGTTCATCCACTACAGGAAGGGAAAACGACTGGAAACCAGATTTCAAAAGTACAGGAAGGTAGGCCTTGTGCGGCTGCCACTCTGCTTTTCCGAATTGCGTGGGACTATGTCCATGCCAGGCTTCCGCTTAGCATGCAAGGCGAGGGGGGAGGGTCTTGAGAGTTGATGGAGGATTGAAAACAAGACCTTCAAATCCGTCAGACCGTCAGGGTCAGAGTGATTGAGGATTGATTGAGGATGGTTTTGATTGAGGATTGAGCGAGGATTGATTGAGGCTGGGGAACCCAAACCTCGAAATCCGCTTGCAGGGTGACCGATGGAGTGAGATAGGCCTTCCATGGCATTCCTTTGACGTGGCAAATGCGGAATTCCCAAGAGCCACCTACAGTGCTCTGAAATGGTTTGGGCATGTCTTGGGCTCTGAAATGGTAGGCCAGATTCATTGAGCACTGTGCACGTTGACCAGTGCACCCCATAAGTCGCGGGTGGTAGACCGCGACGTCCCCAGTCGCTTAAACCTCTATAAGAGCTTTTGCAAATTCCATTCGCGGGTGTGTGAAGTGGCCCAAGCAAGCACAATACCATGTCATGGGTGTCATTTGCCTAGTAGATCAGATGCAGCAGTTTCAGAGTCGATGGCACTGGCAGATAGCTCAAGAACAAGTGGATGGCACCTGGTTCAAAGCACTGACCAGGTCGGCACGGGGTCGGGCCAGGTCAGAAGAGTCGCTGGGCCCTCAGAAGAGTCGGTGGGATCGGTCGGTTGGTCCTCCGAGAAGCGTTTGAGGCGTTGTTCGATGGAGAAGAAACACGAGGAAGGCTGTATTCTACTCTTTCACTCCTTTGATTCGCAAGAAGGGGGCACTTGTATAGATGGAGGCACAGTCACTAGTAGATGAAACAAGGAAGTTCATGTGAACCGGACTTGCATGTTGAACAACTCATCAGCCTTTTGGAGATCCGGCTTGTGGTGAGGATGCCCGTCCTGGGTGGTGGAGACCACCCAGAAAGATTCTGAATGAGTATGCCGCATGCCTGTCTCAAACATCGGGTGCTCTCAAATCCCCCTGTCGCAGATGGAAGCACCCGCAAAATTCCCCAAACCAGACTCTTGGGCTCAGTCTATTCAACTTAGATGCTTCTCAACTAAGTTGCAGCCTTCTACTTCGCCGGACTCCCACCACGTCACGTCCCAGGACTTGGAACTCGGAAGGCCGGCGAACGCGGAACGCCGCCGAACGGGCACCCCCGTCAGGTCCTTTGGCGGCCGTGGCCGTACGGCCAAGCCCTCCCAATGGAGGCGGTTACCTCTGCGGCGACCAGGATGGATCGTCCAGGCGGAGGGTGGAGGGGGTGGAGGGGGTGGAGGGGGTGGAGGGGGTGGAGGGG